TGCATATATTCCAAAGCTGAACAACACATATCCTATGACACAGCAAATCGTTCCTTAGGTATATACCCAATAGACCACATTCATAGTCACCAAAAGATACATACAAGAATGTTCACAGTGGCACACCATTCATAAGGATTTTATTCATAATAACAGCTATAATTAGAAAGACAGACAATGACAATTATTGGCGAGGATGTGGAACTGGAACCTTCATACACTGCTAGTGGGAATGCAAAGTTGTAAAGCCAATTTAGAAAACAGTCTGGCCATTTCTTAAAAAGTTAAACATAAATTTACCAAATGACCTGATAGTTCCACTCCTAGGTATATACCCAAGAATATGAAAACACAAGTCCTAATAAAAACTAGCATGTGAATGTCTGCAGCAGCATTATACATAATAGCTAAAACTGGAAACAATCCAAGTACCCAACAATTAGTGAATGAAAAAACAAAATGTAATATATATCCATATCACGAAATACTGCTCACAAAAAAAGGAATGAATTATAGATATATAACAAAACATGCATGAACTTCAAAAACATTTGCTAAATGAAAGAAGCCAGACAAGATTATATACCATAAGAGTACATTTTTATGATATGTCCAGAATATTTATAGAGACATAAAGCTGATGGCTGCCTCAGGCAACAAAGACTGACTACAAACAGGTACAGGAAACCCACTGAGTTGATAAAAATGTTCTATGACTGTATTGTGCTGATGGCTGCATAATTCTATACATTCACTAAAAATCACTTAATTATACATTAAAATGGATAAATTTTAGTGATATATAAATTATGCCTCACAAAAGTATTTTTAAAAAGTAACCAGCAAAGGATAGCGTGTGAGGAGCCATAAGTGAAATAGTTTCATAACGTATTGATAATAGTTGAAGCTGGCTGATGGCTAATAAGAATTCATTGTTCTACAAACTGCTTTTACTTTCATATATGCTTAAAATTTTTTCATAATAAAACGTTTTAAAAAATAAAGAAAACAAACCACTCAACTTTTAAAAATCAGCAAAAGATTTGAATAAACACGTCGCCAAAGAATATGTATGGATAGCAAATAAACACATGAATATGATGCTTAGCATAATTAGCTTTTAGATAAACACATATTAAAACCACAATAAATACCACTATGAATCTGTTACGATCTCTAAAATTGAAAAGACTAACTAGATCCAGCCTTGGGGAGGATATAGAGCAACTGGTACTCTCAGTTATATACTGATAGTGGGAATGTAAAATGCTACAACCTCTTTGTAAAACAGTTTGGAAGTTACTTAAGGAGTTAAAAATGATCCAGCCAGTCAATTCCTATGTATTTACCCAGGAGAAATGTCCAAAAAAATAAAAATAACTCAAACGTCCATCAATAAGTAAATACATAAATTGTCATATAGCCATACAATAAAATATGATTCAGTAATAAAAATAAATAAACTACTGATACAACATAAATTACAAATTATGCTGAATCAAAGCTAGACAAAATGGAGTACATACTGTATGATTCCATTTTTACAGAATTAAATTAAAATTCTAAAATTGCCAACTATAGTGATGAAAGTAGATGAGTGGTTGTCTGAGGATGATGGGAAAAATAGATTCGAGGAGAGGGTGATTGGAAGAGAGGGAATATAATGGGACATGACAAAGTTTTTGCAGGTTACAGACATGTTCATTATCTTAATCGTGACAATAGTTTCACAGGAATACACGTCAAAACTTATCAAATTGTAAGTTGTGCAGTTTACTGCATATTAATTAAATCTCGATAAGCCTGTTTAAAAAAGTTAGTATAGTGAATACTTGTGTGAGAGTGAGGGCGCTAATGGTGGGAGAACAAGAGGGATTTCTGGGGCAGTGTTGATATTCTGCTTCTTGACCTGGGTACTAGTTATATATGGGTGTGCACTTTGAAAATTCATGGAGCTGTCCACTTAGAATCTGCACACTTTTCTGTATGCATGTTATATGTCCATTTTTTAAAGCTTATTTAAAAAGAAATGAGATACTACTATATGCTCACTCAAATATCACTCTTTTTAATTTTAGAGAATACCAAATGTCTAAGTGTCTACAAAGATGTGGAATACCTAGAACTCTCATACATTGCTGTTGAGAGTGTAAATTGGTACAATCATTTTGGAAAACCAGCTGTATCTACTAAAGTGGGACATACATATATACCCAATGGCCCAGTAGTTCTACTCCTAGGTACATACCTAACAGAAATGTATCTATATGTCCGTCAAAGCACATGTATAAATCTTTTGCTCACAAGCATTAGTCAAAATCATCCAAAACTGGAAATAACTCAAATTTTAATCATTAGTAAACTGGAAAAACAAACTATGTATGATATATTCATTCAGTAGAAACTATATAGTAATGAAAAAGAATCAACTACTCTTACATGCAACAATATTAATGAACCTCAAAAACATAATGCTGGATAAAAGAAATCAAACACAGAAGAGTATATGCTATACTATACCATTCAATTTAAATTCAAAAACAGTGAGAAATTCAAAGGTAATGACTATTCTGATAAAAGAGAGTCTACTGGTTACCACTGGAAGGTATGAATAATGACTGCTTCTGGAGCTCTAGTAATAGTCTATATTTTATTCTGGGTAGCAGTTACATGACTGTGTTTACTTCATAAAAATGTATCAAACAGTATACTCAAGATCTGTCCATCTTATTGTATATGTTATATTTCAACCTAACAATTTTAAACTCTATATTGAGCCAGAGAAGAAAAAGAAATAATTTAAATAGTGCAATTGTCTTCTGTGACCATACCGTATCATCAAGGGTATGTCCTCAGATAGGGAATGTGAATAATAAGCCTGACATAATCAGTACATACTGGCAAAATCTATAGAAAGAATGTGTCAATTATTTTAGGGGTTTCTCTATTGACAAGAAGTAAAAACATTGTTTTGGCAACCAAAGAAGAGAGAAGAGATAGCTTTGTCTATATCCTCAAGAAAAAAATGAAATTTAATACTGAAAACATTGAAGAGTGAGAACTGAGAAAAATCATCTAACAGACAAAAATGACAAATAACAAAAAGAATCAGCAAACTGGCTTTCCATAAATTTTGCTCACCTGCCCCAAGCAGATAGATTCTAGAACACTTTAATTTCTGATTACTATTCTGTGAAATTATGAAATATACATTATTAGGTACCTTACACAGTTTACAAATTATATAAACAAAACCAGGTATAATCTACTTGATGGACATTAAAAGAAATTTTTTAAGAGTAAATTTGACTGCTCTGTAAATGTAATTCCACTATACTGTATACATACATATATACTCATAAATAGATATATCTATACATATATAAATATATCTATATATACATAAATATATAAATTTAATAAAATAAGGAGCAGAAGTCTAAATTTATAGTGACAAATTATATTGAGAAGAGTAGGCTGGAAAGAAATGGCTTAGGAAGCTAATTTCTCATTTATTATAAGAAGTAATTGAGCAATAATGTCTAGAGTTGATAAATCAAAAATCAGTTATAAGCACATTATTTAAAGATATGGAAATAATCATCAGGAGAACCAAAAGAAGCACCCGCTTTTAATTTTTTCTCTGAGAAATAAGACTGGTAGTGGGGCAGAGAACTGCTACTTTTCATACAATTTAATGTACTATTTTATATTTTTAATCATAAACCTGTCCTATTTAATTATTAAAACTTTAAACCATATTACAGAAGGATATAACATACAAAAATTTCACTTTATATTAAATTTCAAAAGCAGATCATATATTCTGATCTCAACAGAAATATATCTGTAAAGGGGAGTAACTATCACAATTTCATAGGTTTACTGAGGATTAAACCAGATAATATACATAAAATAATGAGCAAAGTGCTAGTATAATGTAAGGATTCAATAAATGTTAGCTATAATTACTATAATTGCATAGAATAAATGCAATTAATATTAGAACTGATGATATTCATTATATATAGCACCTGATATATAACAAGCACTCAATAACTAATGACTAAATTAATGAGTATATCTAGTTTTCAAGGAACAGATAATTCTCTTCTAAGACTATCAAATAAAATACGGATAGCTACCTGGTTAACTACAATGAAATCGGGATAAAACTAAAATCAAAATTTGACAAAGTACAAAAAAAATCATGCCCCAATTTCATTATTTATAATAAGAATATCAATAACAGCAGCGAGGTTACTATATACACCATTTCCTGGGAGTTAATTTTTCCTTCTAACGTTCTCCTGTATTTTTAAATTTTGTTACAAATACTACTTTTATAATTTTGGGGGGGATGGATCAATTTTAGAATTCTCCTCCACACAGACATTAATTGCTTACAAGGGCTAAAATTTCCAAATTATGTTAAACTGCTTTTGTACAAAAAAGAGTAAGTTATTAATTCTTACATATCCGCAAAATGATATAGCCATACAAATTTTTCTTGACACATTTAACTATCTGGGAGCAAATAAGAGTTTAATTAAAATAAAAGAAGAAAATGCTTAAGATCCCTAGAAATAATGCCATACCATCCACTAAAAGCACACCATTCTCTATCAACAGGGACCTAATGAGAAATAAATAAATGCCTGAATGAAAATAACAAACTTTCAAAAAACTGCAGAGAATGAAATATACAAGGGAAAATGAATATATATACTTGTTAAATGTATTATTGTTTATACTTGTAAATACTTTACAAATATTGTAAATATTATCTTCTCCCAAAAGGTCCATGACCTTCTTTGTAGTCAGATGAGCAATTTAACTCATCTGAAGATTCAAATAGAGTAAAAGGGGAATCAAAGCGAGATAGCCAGAATTGAGAAGGAAGATACAATGATACCAAGGCTTCTCTCCAACAACCATATTTGCTCTTACACCTTATAAAGAGGTATACCTAGATTGGGGACCTCTATTACCAAGCTTACCTGTGCATACTCTCTTTCAATAGCAGCCTTCTTCTGACTGAATGTCCTAAAAATACAAATAAAAATTCATTACCAAAAATATAACGATAATTTCATTTAAATTTATCAACACACCCTCAAATACTGCCTGATAAGCTGTGTTAAAAGAAAGGACAATATTTCATTCATCTTACGTGCCTAGGAATACTGCTGACATCAAAGACTCTGGAGTCAGGCAATCTACATTCAAATCCTAGCTGCACCACTTACTAGCTGTATGACCTTACTCAAGTCACTTGACTTCTCTGTGCTTCAGCTTCCTCTCTGGTAAAATTGGAATAGTAACAGTACCCACCTCACAAGGATAACATAAAATTTAGTTAATTAAAATGTATAATGTACTCAAAATAGTGTCTAGCATATAGTAAAAGCTATATAAATGTTAACTACTATTATTAGAATGGCTAGTGAAAAAGTAGGCACTAAATATTTACTGACTTAACCGATGCAGAGGGAACAACAGAAAATAAGATTAAAATCAAATTTTGATCAGCTTTTCAACATGAAAATAGTCAGATCATTTCTTTCATTCTAGTCTTTGACAAGAGTTATAATACAAAGTGCAAAACTACTACATGTTGGGGTATGTTGGGAGCACCATTTCCATACATGTATTATATTTCATAAATACTATGGTAAACCCTTTTCACATTTTAACATTACATTGGAATTCATCTTTTAATAATGATTGGCAACATTTTCTTCTATCTTAACAGTACATGAAATAACAGTGTACCTTATAAACCATAGGAAAGGTAGAGTCAATGAAATATGATAATTCATTAACTATTTACCTTGACTAGTGGGAATTTAAAGACTTTTCTTTAGGTGCCAGGTATCTGTGCTCTTAAAAGTACTTCATTAAGGTAGACATATCAAAACAAAAAGTGAAAAATGTAAAGAAAAGAGTTGGAATAGAAAATAAGGCAATAAGCCAAAATTTCCACTTTAATAATCATTTAAATTTACCACAATGGCTATTCATTTCTTATATAAGGAATACAACTATTGAAGACCTTAGTACATTTATTCTTAGTGAATAATTATTACTTAGCCTTAAAAAGGAAGGAAATCCTCACACATGCTATAACATGAATGAATCTTGAAGATGGTATGCTAAGTGAAATAATACTGTCACAAAAAGACAAACACTATATGATTTCATCTATATGATGTACTTGGAGCAGTCAAAATCATATAGACAGAAAGTAGAATGCTGGCTGCCAAGGGGTGGGAGGAGGGAATCAGAGGAGTTATTTTATAGGAATAGAGTTTCAGTTTTGCAAGATGAAAAGTTCTATAGATGGATGGTAGTGATGGCTGCAGAACAGTATGAATGTACTTAATACCATTAAACTGCACACTTAAAAATGGTTAAAACAGTTAATTTTATATTATGTGTATTTAACCACAATTTAAAACAATGAAAAAGAGTTGAGCAAAATCTTTTTCCTCGTGGGGTACTGCACATTATAAAATATTTAACACGGTCCTTTAAAATACAGTCTACTCTCTTTAAAACACATAAACTATTATTATATATATATATATGCACTGTATATATGCATTTATAAACTGTATTTTATATATTTACAGATATATATGTATATATATATATGTACATGTATACATATATATATATGTTTGGGGTTATACATACATATATTTCTCTCTATATATAGATATACCAAAATAGTAAGTTTTCTTTTAATCCATGAACATAGAATATCTTTCCATTTTTTGTGTCTTCAATTTCTTTCAGCGTCTTGAAGTATTCAGTGTATAGGTCTTCTACTTCCGTTAAGTTTATTTCTAGGTATTTTATCCTTTTCGTTGCAATTGTAAATGAGATTATTTTCATTTCTTTTTCTGATATTTCACTGTTATTATATAGGAATGCAACAGATTTTTTATATTGATTTTGTATCCTGAAACTTTACTACATTTTTATTGTTTTTAATAGTCTTTTGGTGGAGTCTTTAGGGTTTTCGATATATAGAGTCATATAATCTGCAAATAGTGGAAGTTTTAATTCTTCATTCCCAATTTGGATGCCTTTCATTTCATTCTCTTACCTGATTGCTCTGGCTAGGAATTCCAGTACTATGCTGAATAACAGTGGCAATAGTGAGCATCCTTGTCTTGTTCCCGATCTTAGAGAAAAGCTTTCAGTTTTTCACCACTGAATATGATAATAGCTGAAGGTCTGTCATATATGACCTTTATTACATTAAGGTACTTTCCTTCTATGCCCATTTAATTGAGTGTTTTAATCATAAATGGATGTTGTATTTTATGGATGTTGCTTTTTTCTGAATTTATATGATCATAGAATTTTTCTTTTATTTGTTAATGTAATATATTAACATTTATTGATTTGCATAAAAGTATGGTACATATGTAAATGAAATACCACTCAGTCATGAAAAGATGAAATATTGCCATTTGGGACTATACAGATGGACCTTGAGAGTATTATACTAAGTGAAATAAGTCAGACAGAAAAGAACAAGAACCATATGGTTTCACTCACATGCGGGATATAAAAAATAAAGCAATAAACGAACAAACAAAACAGCAAACTCACAGACACAAACAGTATGGTGGTTACCAAAGGAGAAGAGGAAATGGGGGAGGATGAAGAGGCGAAAGAGGGTCAAATATATGACAGGACACTAGACTTTGAATAGTGAGCACACAATGAAATATACAGATGATGTATTATAAAGTTGAATATCTGAAACTTGTATAATATCATTAACCAAATCTACCCCAATAAATTTAATTTAAAAAAAAATAAAAATAAAATTGAGCTTAGAAAGTCTGATGACTAGTGCTACCAAACATGTTCTCTTCCCACCTAATGTAAATACTCAGGCAAAACAAACTAACTAAAATGAACTAGCTTAAATTCTCCCCATTAAAAAATCTAAAACTTTACCTATATTTTGAAAGACATGGTATTTTTAATATTTTTACAAAAAAATAAAAGTAAATATTTAAGCTACTTATTTAGTACCCTTTAAGCTTAGACGTAACTCTTCATGAAATAAGGGTGAAAGAAGTGAAGTGTGCAAAAAAACAGGAACTATTTTACTCTGAACATGCATATCGACTAATTTTAAAACTCTCAGTGGAATTTTTAGTTGTTATTAAACAACTGCATGTCTACGAAGTAATTTCCTATTCTAAAGAAAGAAAATGAATCTAAGATGACAACTACTCAAAATCAACATCATCAATATTAGGAAATAAATTATGAGTCACCACATCCAGAGAGCAGAGCAAAAAATCCTCTGATAATCTCTAAATTAGATATGAAGGCATTTGTTAAAATTCACTATCGGTTTCTGATAAAACCTCTAAAAATATTAGTGAGCGCTATAATTAAACAGACAGACAAGAACAAGTGTTGGCAAGGATGTAGAGAAATTAGAACTCTCATATGGTGCTGGTAGGAATGCAAAATGGTGCAGATGCTTTGGAAAACGGTCTAGGAATTCCTCAAAAGGTTAAACATGTCACCGTATGCCATAGTAGTTATTTGTAGGTATACAGCAGTCCTCCCCTTATCTGAGAATAATACATTTTAAGACTCCCAGCGGATACCTATAACTGTGAATAGTACCAAACCCTTATATACATTATGTTTTTCCCTATACATACATACCTTTTCACTTAAAGCAAGCACTTTACGGCTTCTCTCTGGCATATTCAAATTGCCAGGATCACTGCATTTGCTCTTTGGGGCCATTACTAAGTAAAATAAGGGTTACTTAAACACAAGCACTGTGATACCATAACAGTCAATCTCATAAGTAAGACTAACGGGCGGGTAGCATAAACAGCATGAATATGCTGGACAAAGAGATGATTCCTGACTCAGGTGAGACAGAGAAGGATGCTGCGAGATTCCATCACGCTGCTCAGAACAACATGCAATTTCAAACTTATGGACTGTTTATTTCTGGAATTTTCCATTTAATATTTTCAGACCACAGTTGACTATAACTAAAACTGTGGAAAGAGAAACCGCAGATAAGGGGGGGGAACTACTGTATACCAAAGAAAACTTAAAACATATGTCTACGCAAAGCCTGTAAGTGAATGTTCATAGCGACATTATTCATAATAGCCAAAAAGTGGAAAAAAGCCATTTGTCCATCAACTGATAAACAAGATGTGGCATATTCATATGATGTAATCGTAAAAAGGAATAAAGTACTGATACATGCTACAATATAGATGAACCTCAAAAACATGCTAAGTGAAAGAAGCCAGACATAAAAGGCCAAGGCCATATGTTATAAGATTCTATTTATACAAAATTCCAGAATAGGCAAGTCTAGAAAGACAGAAAGTAGATTAGTGATTGCCAATGGTTAGGGAGTTGAGATAAGTTTGCCATTATTTCAAAAGTATTTTTTCTTTCAACTAGATAAAGTATAAAGTTCATATGGAAAAAAAAATTTAGAATAATTACAAAGATCTTGAAAAAGAATAATATTAAAAAAGACCTACCTCACCAGATAGTAAAAACTAATTTTAAAAGCAACAGTAATTAAAACAGCTTGGTAAGAGAACATGAGTAATCAGAGAGATAATGAAACTTAGGTCAGAAATACACCCAAATACACATAAAAATTTAGTAACTGAAAAGAAGACATTTCAATTCAAAGGGGAAAGGATGGATTATTTAGTAAATGGTACTGGGACATCTTTATAGGAAGACACAATGTTAAGTAAATGTTAAGAATGTATATAGCATACTATCTTTTCATATAAAAATATTTACATGTATATGCTGCATTATGATAAGTACAATACTTCTCAATTACAATAGTTCCTCAAATGAAAAACTGTTCCATGCAAAAATGCCTACTATGGTCCCCTTAGGAATCACTGTGATAGAATTCCCTGAAATATTTAACATGAAACTAGCCTAACAATGGCTCTACATGAAGAAACGAACTAGTTATAGTGACAGAAGATCTTTTACTGCATTCT